TTTTTGTTTTTGTATCGTCAAGCCCAGAACAGGCTTTTTTTATTTTTATTTTTATTTTTTATTTTTATTTTTATTTTTTTTTGGTTTTTCGAGACAGGGTTTCTCTGTGTAGCTTTGCGCCTCTCCTGGAACTCACTTGGTAGTCCAGGCTGGCCTCGAACTCACAGAGATCCGCCTGGCTCTGCCTCCCAAGGCAGCATGTTCTTTTAAGTTTGAGTAGACTGATGTGTCCTTCCATGTGGGTGAGTCTCGGGGAGTGCTGCCAGCAATAATCCGTGTCTCATGCTGTTTGTATGCTTCTTTCCAGACCTGACATTCTGTCTAATATCATCATCTATCGTTACATGGTAGATATTGAAAGGTTATATAATCATCGTGTATTTTTTTCATCATGTATTATTTTTTTCATTCCTGTCAATGATTGTTCCATGTATTAGGAAAATATGCTATGAAATGCATCCATATAAGGTCCTTTATAGGGAATGGACCATTTTATTCTTGGTTAGTATTCTTTATTTTAATTTTGATGGTGTTGATTTGAATTGCCTGTTATTTTACTTGAATACTTCAGTTCTTTATTGCTATCTATAGTCATGTGATCCCTTTTCTCTTTCTTTTCTTTTCATTTTGTTTTGTTTTGTTTATTTCAAGACAGGGTTTCTTTGTTTAGCCTTGGCTATCCTAGGACTAGTTCTGTGTGAGCAGGCTGGTCTTGAACCCACTTGAGAACCACCTGCCTCTTCCTGGGATTAAGGGCATATACCACCACTGCCCAGAATTTGATTTTCTTAATATGGAATGCTTCATGAATTTGCATGTCACCCTTGTGCAGGGGCAATTCTAATCTGTATGTCATTCCAGTTTTAGTGTAAGCGCTGTCCATGAGCGCACCATTGGGTACAGTCTTAGTCACTATTGTTGTTAAGAGACACCATGACCAAGGGAACTCTTAGGAAAGAAAGCATTTAATTGGAGGTTTGAGTATAGTTTCAAAGGGTTAGTCAGTTATCATCATGGTGGGGTGCTGTGGGATGTTCTGTATGTTAAATGTGTTGATCTGATTGGTTAATAAATAAAACACTGATTGGCCAGGATTCAGGCAGGAAGTACAGGCAGGAAAAGGAGAGAGGAAAATTCTGGGAAGTGGAAGGCTGAGTCAGAAAGATGCTGCCAGCCCCCGCCGCCATAACAAGTGAGATGTAAGGTACCCGTAAGCCACAAGCCACGTGGCAACTTACAGACTAATAAAAATGGGTTAATTTAAGATAGAAGAACTAGATAGCTAGAAGCCTGAGCCATTAGGCCAAACAGTTTAAATAGTATGTCTCTGTGTGTTTACTCGGTTGGGTCTGAGTAGCTGCGGGACTGGTGGATGAGAGAGATTTGTCCTGACCGTGGGCCAGGCAGGACTGGAGAAAACTTCAGCCACAGTGGAGGGCATGTGGGAGGCAGGATGGCATGGTGCTGGAACAGTAGTTGAGCACTCTACATCTTAACCCAAAGGCAGCAGAGTGACACCTGGCCTGGTGTTAGCTATTAAAACCTCAGAGTTCACTCCCAGCGATACTTTTCTAACAAGGGCACAATTCCTAATCCTTTCTCAGTTCATCAGCTGAGGACTAAGCATACAAATATATGAGCCTGTGAAATGCATTCTCATTCAAACCACCACAGATATCTTATTAAAATTTCTTCATTCAACATTTTGTGTCCTTAGATTTGAAGTAGATTTATGGCAGAAAATATATTTTTTAATCTAATTCTTTTTTCTTAAATTCATCTTAATTTTTATGTATCTATGTATGTATCTCCCCCCACCCCTCGAGACAGGGTTTCTCTGTGTAGCTTTCAAGCCTATCCTGGAACTCACTCTGTAGATCCGGCTGGCCTCAAACTCACCAGAGATCTGCCTGCCTCTGCCTCTTGAGTGCTGGGATAAAAAGTGTGTACCACCACCACCCGGCTTTATGCATGTAATTTTTGTGTATGGAGGCTTTGTCTGCATGTATGTCTGTACAAAACTTGTATACCTGGTACCCTTGGATGCCCTGGAGCTGAAGTTACAGAAGGTTGGAGTTGCCATGTGCATGTTACATAGTCAGCCTGGGTCCTCTGGAAGAGCACCCACTGAGCCGTCTCTCCAGCCGCTCTGTCTCAATTCTTGAAGCAATTTTGCATCTTCTACTTTGATATGATTTTAAGAAAATCACTGAAAGGAACGAACATACTAACACTTTTTACAAAGTTTTCTGTATTTCTCATGACTATCTTAACTTCTTTACTATTCATATTAATTTTTACTGTTTTCATTCTATTATAAAGTTCAGTCATGATCCTTTATAATTATTTTATTTTTGTATACTACAGCGCTTGCCAAAGCCAGCACCTAAAAATATGTCAACTGGTTATATATAAAGTGATTTCATATAAAAACACATCCACATCCTACACATTCTTTTTGTTTGTTTTTAGAGACAGGGTTCTCTCTGTGTAGTTTTGGTGCCTGTCTGGATCTCACTCTGTAGACAAGGCTGGCCTCTAACTCACAGAAATCTACCTGGCTCTGCCTCCCAAGTGCTGGGATTAAAGGCGTGCGCCACCACTGCCTGGCTCCTACACATTTTTTGAGTTCCAGTGTCTATGGCACTGATATTCTGATCAAGAAGAATGGAATCTCACTGTTACTATTTTATACTTTCAGAACTAGTCTTGTATATGTCCTTGAGACAGTGGCACAGAGTTGTTTTGTCTGGTGAATCTCTCATAGTTCCGTGTTTAATTTTCTGAGCCCTGTTTCTGCTGCTGACTTGAAACCTGCTCTGTTCCAGTTTTCTCTCTCTCATTCATCGCACACAGAATTTATTGCTTTTCAACACTGGGCTTTCTATCTTGGCCTTCCACTAATTTTAGTATTCTAATTAGAGAAAGAAAAAAATTGTCTGAATATCTAAGAAGTGATTATCCTTGTTCCTTACTTACTTAAACTTAATGTCTTATTCTACTGTATAATGGCAAGCTCCTAATTATTTTAGCAATCTTGCTGAACAATGTTGTCAGTGAATGTTGGTTTTGTTATGTACTATATGCTAGCACGAGAATATGAAATTTTCTATACTACCACCTTGCTAATGTCTTCAAGTTGGAATAATAGTGTAGGTTATAATCTAACATGAGTTCATGAAGTAGGATATCTCTGTAATTTCCTTTCTTGCAGCCATATCTTCATATTACATGTATTGGCTTTCCCCATGGGAGAAACACACAAAGATCCTTCCAGAAAATAACCTTAGAAATCAGTGGAAGTAGTGAGTGGCCTTTATAATTTCTATTTAAGGAAAGACAGGGAACACAGGACTGACTTTGTAGATACCGGACAGTATAGGGTTTGAAATAAAGAGTGCGTAACAACTACCCATGACATCCCTGCCCCATTTGATCTTCAGCTTTGGATATTTAGCAAAAGTACTTTCTTTACATCCATTACTTTCAATTATTTTAATGTGTCTTTAAGAAAAAAAAATCTCTATCATGATTTTTGTTTGTTTTTGAGACAGGATCTCTCTATGTAGCTCTGGCTATTCTGGGACTCGATATGTAGACCAGGCTGGAGTGGAATGCACAGAGACCTGCCTGCCTCTGTCTGATAAATTCTGGGATTAACGTCATGCTGTACCACACCTAGCTCTATCAAGTTTATAAGAAAAAAATTGAAACTTAAAAGAAATTTGAATATTCTGAGGAAGGATGTACAAGCAATACACTTATTAAGTGGAGATATTTTGGATTTAAATAGTTATATAATATTTCTGAGGGAATTTTGGCAGAGTAACATTTTTCAAATGTAATCCATCAGAGAGCTCTGTTCCCAAAGTTTACTGTTTCCTCAACTATTTGTCCTACTTTTTTACAAATACACTTTAGATAAGGACTAAAAGGCTGTTATCTGTGGTAGAGATCAGAGTGGAGGTTCTTCTGAGCATCCATGCAGTAGCTTCCACACAATGATAGTGAAAGGGAAGTCTTTGCTGAGAGCTCTGTGTAAGCAGAGTTCTTCTGTATCTCAGTAGTCACTCCCAGATAACCATACAGATACTTATTATTAATTATAAATGCTTGGCCGATAGTTTAGGCTGGTTATTAGCTAACTCTTACATTTTAAATTAACCCATATTTCTTATCTCTGCCACGTGGTGGTACCTTGCTTCAGCACTGCGTGTTTATCTCCTGCTTCCTCAGTATCTCACTTGAGACTTCTCAGATTCTGCCCTTCTTCTCTTCGCATCCTCTGTGTCTTGCTATCCCCACAATACCTCCTGCCTAGCTACTGGCCAGTAATCTCTTTTATTAATCCAATCAGAAGGTGCCTTGGCAAAGACACATCTTTACAGTGTACAAAAAAATTATTCCATAACAGCTCTTTTCTAGAGAATTGTATTTACTTAGAGAACACAGATATTGAATCTGTTTCATCATGCATCAAACCTATTCACCCTAATTGTGCTCTTTTCCTAGAGTACCAACAGATGTGTGGCGAATCTGAGAAGGTCTTTGATCAAAACTCAAAGTGTATTGTCTATGAGCAGGTGGCTGTTCAACAGAAGTTGTGCGAATCCCCCAAATGGACACTGTATAAAACAAATAATACTACAGAAAACTGCTACAAAAACAGATGGATACAAAATCACAGGGATGACTATATTGAATCAATACACTTCAGTAGACATGAAAGCATGCACACTGGAGAAGAACTTTGCAAATATAAAGATGTTGGCAAATCTTTAAGTTTATTTTCAAACATAAGTCAGAGTCATGGAATCTTCATAGGAAAGAAAGAGTATAAATATAACAAATGTGATCAGTCTTTTGGCTTTACCCCCAAGCTTGTGCAGGTAAGAATTCATAATGGAGAAAAACCACACTACTTCAGGGAATGTGGGAAATCCTTCAGGACCTGCTCAAACCTCAGTACACATCAGAGAACTTGTACTGGAAAGAAACTATGGAAATGCACAGAATGTGACAAGTCCTTTAAGTGGTTATTCGACCTTAAAACCCATTACAGAATTCATCCTGGCGAGAAACCTTTCAAATGTAAGAAATGTGACAAATCTTTTACCTACTGCTCATCGCTTAAAGAACATCAGAACATCCATGAGGGAAAACTTTATAAATGTCAGGAATGTGACAAATCCTTTACCTACTGCTCATCTCTTAGAGAACATCAGAATATGCATGCTGGAAAACTTTACAAATGTTGGAAATGTAACAAGTCCTTTACCCGGTGCTCATCTCTTAGAGCACATGAGAAAATTCGCACTGGTGAAAAACCTTTCCAATGTAAGGAATGTAGTAGGTCCTTTTATATGCTGTCCCAACTTAGAAAACATGACAGAACCCATACCGGAGAGAAACCTTACAAATGTCAGGAATGTGACAAATCTTTTACCTACTGTTCATCTCTTAAAGAACATCAGAATATGCATGCTGGAAAATTTTATAAATGTCAGGAATGTGACAAATCCTTTACCCGGTGCTCATCTCTTAGAACACATGAGAAAATTCATACTGGAGAAAAACCTTACAAATGTAAGGAATGTGGTAAGTCTTTTTATATATTGTCCCAACTTAAAAAACATGACAGAACCCATACTGGAGAGAAACCTTACAAATGTAAGGAATGTGACAAATCCTTTACCCAGTGTTCAACCCTTAGAATACATCAGAAAATTCATGCTGGAGAGAAACCCTACAAATGTAAAGAATGTGGTAAGTGCTTTTGTAAGTTGTCATACCTTAAAGTCCATTACAGAACCCATACTGGAGAGAAACCTTACCAATGTAAAAAATGTGGTAAGGGCTTTTCTCAGTTGTCCTGTCTTAAAAGCCATGACAGAATCCATACTGGAGAGAAACCTTACAAATGTAGTCAATGTGACAGATCCTTTACGCACTGCTCAACTTGTAGGAGACATCAGAGCACTCATGCTGCAAAACTTTATAAATGTGAGGAATGTGACAAATCCTTCGCTAAACATTCTTCTCTTAAAACACATCAGAAAACCCACGCAGGAGAGAAACCTCATAGTTGTAAAGAATGTGGTAAGGCCTTCTATCAACTATCACACCTTAAAGTCCATTACAGAATCCACACTGGAGAGAAACCTTACAAATGTTATGAATGTGACAAATCATTTACCAAATCTTCATCTCTTAGAACACATCAGAAAATCCATGCAGGAGAGAAACCTCATGGTTGTAAAGAATGTGGTAAAGCCTTCTATCACTTATCACACCTTAACATCCATTACAGAATTCATACAGGAGAGAAACCTTACAAATGTAGTGAATGTGACAAATCCTTTACCACGTTGGCAAACCTTAAAAGACATCAGAAAATTCATACTGGAGAAAAAACTTTCCATAGTAAATAATATGGTATATGATTTTTCAGAGCTCTGTCCAAAGGGACCAAAGCACTCTCCACACTAGAGAATCATTATGAACTTGAGAAACTTGTGAAAGCCTTGAAGGAACTGTTGAATCTTACAAAACACCAAGAATTTATAGTGAGGAAAAATTCTGAATATGTGGCCATGTGGGAAGCCTTTAATTAAAACATTTTACTTTATCAACCTCAAAAAATTCATAGTGAAGACAATCTGTGTCACCAAGCCTTTAATTATTTCCTGAAATGTTGTACAACAGAAAATTTATATTACAGAGAAATCAGATAAATGTTTACCATTGTGCTCTATTCATGCCTCATTGCACATTAAAAATTCCACTGTAGGGAACCAGAAGAAATTCACTGAATTTGTCAATGTCTTTACTTATTGCTAAACAGTAGACATCTGAAGTCTTCCTGAAGGAAAACCCAAGAAAACGCTTTCAGAAAGACTTTTTCACCTCTTCAAAACATTCATTGTGGAGTGAAAACCTATCAATAGCAAGATGGTGAGAACTTTATAGAGATGATCTTGTGACTGTGACAATGTGTATGCTCATGCACAGCTAGAAAATCCCTAAAGGTATGCAGGACAATTATTTTTCAGTTCTCTAGAAAGTTGGGGAAGTATTTAGTAAATGCCGAGCATAGTTGTTGGAATTCTGTCCACTCCTCCAGCTATGTGACTGCACATGTGCAGTTCAGCAGCCAAGTAAGGGGCCTTATGTCCTACATAATCCATAGCGTAGCTCTGTAAGCCATGTGCGCATGTGCAGGGGAATCCCTAAGAAGTGGATCACAGACCCTTCCTCCCTCTTCCTCTTGTTCTCCTACTCCCAACTCTCTCTCTGCACAGGTCTTCCACAGGCCTGGTCACTCTCTTCTGTCCTTCCCCTCTTCTAATAAAACTCTGCTCTGATATGGGTTTTGTTGTGCCTCTTGACCTTTCTCACACTGGTAACAGCACAGCACATTAAAACCAACAATAGTAATAATAGAAGATTCATATACAAATACTAAGACACAAGCCAGTGTATTACAAAGAAGAAAACTAAATATATGCAAAATCACATATTTCAGTGGAATAGGATTTTTTGATTTGAGTAAATAAGAAAACGATCCTTGGAGATATTTTTATATTGTAAGTATTGAAATTGGCTGACATAAGTACAGTTGGTTAGGTTACACTGAAAAGCATCAAATAATTTGTATCAATTGTTGCATCAAAGCTGAAGAACCCAAGACAAGAGTCAGGGAAGTTAGCTAGGGAATGGGTACTAATCATCAGGGGACACCAAACATTGGACAGGCTTCTTATGCCAATTTCAGATGCTCTATGAGTCAGAGTTGTGCACACAGATAAAAAGCCCTTTTTGATGACATTTCAGTAACTTTACTACTTCATGGCAGGGTTCCAGTGCCAAGAATTTGAACATTTTGTGCATATGAAAACAACTTTTAACCTCTTGTTCATTCCAAATCATTTGAAAATACTTTTTCAGCGAGGCGATGGTGGTGCACACCTTTAATCCCAGCACTGGGGAGGCAGAGGCAATTGGATCTCTGTGAGTTTGAGGCCAGCCTGGTCTTCAGAGTGAGTTCCAGGACAGCCAAGGCTACAAAGAGAAACCCTGTCTCAAAAAATTAAAAAGAAAAAAAAAAAGGACCTATCATTAGATACTAGTTCATTCATTTATTTAGTGGTTTGCACCTTACTACCTGGAAGAGAAGGCAATTGAGAAGGGGGAATGCCTCAAACACAATAGGTTTTTGTCCTTAGTAACCACACCACAAAGGCTTCTTATTGTCAACTGGAGCATATGCATTTGAAAAACAAAAGCCTCCAGCTAACTGCTATTAAAGTCCCACTTGTTTACTGGCTCTCCCCAGCTTTATGGTTTTAGCGAATAAAAAGAATACAAACTGAAGTCCTTCAGGAACTATACTGTCTCCAGTCCCCTGGTGAATAAATCTCTCTTCCATTCAGTGCTGTTGGGGTACTCACGGCAGAGAAATCCCTTCAACTCTATCACTTCTACCAAGAATGATTAATGTCCCAAGAAAAGGTTATTACTGTGCCACATATGCAGACGTACAGTAGGAATGCACTTGTGAGTGAGGTAGGTACAGTGTGCTTCCAC